TTCCCTCCTCCCCCCCCCCCCCCCTTCCGCAGGAGGCAGCCCCGGCCCCCCTACGCGATACCTGCCCAATGTGCTCACAAAGCAGCAGTGGCGCTCACCACCGTCACGTGACCACCTGCCTGGCTCTCCCTCCTCCCCCACCGCCCAATATCACATAACACACTCCCCTTCTACGCACTTAACTCATCACCAGCCCTTCCGCCCACTCTGGCACGCATATGACCAGGGCTTTGCTCCTCCCCCCAAACACCCGCGCAGCGAAGGGGTTGGCTAAACCCCTTCAAAGCTGCGCTGAGGGGAGGTGGTGTAGGGTGCGTCTCCGTGAAGGGTCTTCGCTGCACTGGCTCGTTGCGTTGACGGCTGCTCCGCGGACGGCTCTGAGGGAAGGCCGTAACCGTTCCTAGGGTCGCTCCGTGGAGCGTTGATGCGTTGACAGAGCCCGACCGGGAAGGGCATCTGCGGGGACGGGCAGCCCCACCTTAGCTCTCTGTCAGGCCGCGGGGAGACAGAGACTTAGCACCCTAGAAAGCAGCCTGGGCCATGGTGGGATGGGTTTAGGAACAGGGTGAACGTTCAGAATCATGGTTTGGTACCTCTCACTGATCAAAGGAGCAGTTTGAACTAGGAGCTCTGAGTTTTGCTTTACTTCTTTTAAAAAGAAGCCTTTATTTTCTGCCCTCCAGGATTTTGGCAGGAATCGCTTATGTCACAGATTAAAGCTCATTCATATTGCCAGATTATGTTTATGAGGAAAATTAATCCACAATGTCAGAGATTTATGTCCAAAAAAGGAGACAGAGTAGTTCTGTAACTTTATTCTAATAAAGGAAGAGGCCATTGGGCATTTCTCATGGGGTCTCTCAAATTGCTGGAGGACACAGCCTCCTTTTTAACCTAATTTCCCTCTCTCTTTCCCCATTGACTGAGGTACTTGAGAGGTACAGACTTCCCAAATCGCCTAATACCTAAGACCCTCTTCTAATGTGCTTCCTCCCCTTCTTTTTCTTTGTATCTGTTATTTTCCCCAAAGTCCAAGAATTTAGTATGGCCTTGAGTGAGCAACAGTCTGTGTCAATTAGTGAAATTGCTATGGAATTGATGGTCCCCCCCCCCATTGCTTCTTTCACCTATCAGTACCTGGCTTTATCTACCAGCAGGCCCACAGTTTGTAGACACATCCCTCTCATTCCTTTCAATCCCCCCTCTTCTTATTTTATAAATAATTGTCTTAATTTTCTTCTTTCTGGATTTTTTTTTTTGGTGATTATTTGCAGTGACCTCATTTTCTGTCCTTCTGTAGCCATTTCTAGATCAGTAGGCATGGCTACTACTTGCTTGATCACATGCTGAATGAGCTGCACTAGACAAGGTATCATGCATGGTAAAAAGACAAGAGTTGCTATAGCACATAAGAGGAAAACCAGTATTGGTTTAACCCATAGTCCATGAAAACATGCCCATCTTTTCTCATGTGTTCTATGTTTGGACTGGAACTGATGCCTTGAAAAGGCTGACCTGGAACAGGGACTAGACAGAGCTAAGAGAATAAAGTAGGTATTTATTAAAAGGCCTTAAAAGGATACACCTTGGGCAGAACAAGAGCCTTGCCAGGGCTACACCCAAGATGGACCCAAAAATGGTCACAAAATGGATGACTGGGTATAGTAAAAGCAGCCCCCAATGCCTGGGAAGAATGAGCTCTGACTCCAATGATTTCAGAAGGCTATTTAATTACTTTATTATACTATAACTTTATTACATTATATTACACTAACAAGAACTATCACTAACTACCTAACTAGAAAACCTGTGACTGTCTCCTGAGAGTCCTGACACATATGTGTGAAGCGATATTCGGACTAAATAAATAGACTCCACAACTCGAGGTAGTTATGAAGTGGGTATGTATGGGAGCGCTCGGCACAAGCGAGATAACTCTCCGAAATCTTGTGCCCCGAGCTGAAGTCTGCCCCCCGACTTTATTCACAAAGGTGTTACATATGCAATACATTACACAATTTTTCTATGCATATTCAACCCCTGGCCCCGCCTGTCTTCGCTTCTCATGCTAAATAGGTCCACGCCCTTCTGGGCACGCGTAGTTCTTTGTGAGGGTTTCTTATGGGGGTCCCTGGTGGTCTTTTAATTTATATCTTAGTCTTCCTCAGCATTGAACTTTTGAACTCTCCTCCTCTGCGCTTGCGCTTTTGGTCCTTTGCTCTCTTATCTGGATAAGTTCATCATTTTTGACATGCTGGTGACATAGGGCTTCCTCGTCTGGGGGTCTTAGCATTCTTTGTCCTTTCCGGTATTTGTCCTTTGCAAGAAGCTTTAGAGATCTTTGTTTTTCTTTCCTATGCCCTTCTGTGCAGGGGTTTCTTAAAATTCAACACACAATTCTACAAACATAATGCATTCATTTCTGATACACTCATTTTTGATACATTCTTTTTATACATCTATTTTTGATACATTCATTTCTGATACATTCATTTTGTTAGTTTAAGTGATCTCTGGAAAATCTTTTGTTTCAGTCCCCCCTTTTCTTAAAATATAGTAAATTCTTTTACTACAGGGGTTCTGGTTTCATTCCTAGCTTACTATCATGATAGTCTTCTTTTATCAGGATCCCATGAGTTCTAGAAAGTGAAGTTAGAATGGCTACACGTTGTATCATATTCCAATTCCACACAAGTGTTAAAATAGACATTATTAGACTTATGGTAACCAATATTAGTAAGACAATAATGGGGTGACATAGAGTGTTCATGATGCCCGTCGCAGTCGGTGACCACCCAAACAATGCATCCCACCAGTTATGACTTCCGTCTTGTTTTATTCTTTGCAGGACTTTGTTTATTTCAGTTACGTCATGATGGACTGTAACCAGAGTTCTCTGCCCATTTTTATGAACCTCCTCTATAATTTTGATTAGATCTTGATGTTTCATTAATTGTTTTACTAGGGTCAGATTCATACCAATAGTTGTGGGAGGTAATTCATCGTAGGTTGTGTAGTTTGACTTCATTAACTGGTGGGATACGACTGGTGCTGAGTATATAAAATCACACCCGGTAATCTTGATGAAGTTACAAATACAGAAATTTGAATGATTTTTACTAGACAAGGGGACTTTGTTTTTATCAATTTCTATAACGTTACACACAGTTCTCAAACACACACAGCCATCGCCTATGTATACTAGTATAGTTTGTTGGTTGTTGTCTGGGTGGATTTCAAAGTGGCAAATGCCCTGATCAGTGTCAAGGCATACGTCTTGAGCACTAATCAGATTACTCTCACAGATGAATCCTTGTTGTTCTCGAGCAATGCAAGGCTCTAGGTTGATGGTTTGCCATTTCCCTTGGTTTTTCCAGGCCCATGCTCTGTGTTCTGAGGGGTAGAGTACTGACTTTTCATGACTTAATCCTAGAGCAATGATGGGGTGAATAGTGTGAACCGTGGCATTACGAATGGTGAGCACAAAGGCAGTAGCTGTGGTAGTGGTGGGATCATATGTAAAATTTACCATGGTCCACCAAGACTGGAGGTCTCTCTCAAAGTCTGTAGCACTGTCCCAGACAACTTTTCGTATTTCCACTGGAAACACCCCTTCACTTCCTTCCCTTATGATTAAAGCAGCTGTTGACTGTATCCATAATTGCGCTTGTATACAACTAAGGGCTAAAGATATGTTCTCTTGTGCTCCTCCTAATGCATCTATCAGTAAACTATGGTCATGATCTTCAAAGTTTCTCCATTTTGGCAGTACTCTTGAAACCTGCCACTGACTATTTCCTAGTGCTAATAGAGATGACTGTAAAGGTTGTTTTAATTTTGTTAGGTCGCTAGTTGCTATAGCTAATTTATTCATCAATATTTCAGAGTCAATCCCGTTCAAAACTCCTAACCCGGTCCCTAAGATCCCAGTCAAATCCCTTTGCATTCTATCTCGGAGGTGTATTCGTTTCTGTAGCCACTTTGTCCATCCTTCGAAGGACGACCTTAGGAAAGGGGAGCAGGCTGGCTGAACTGTCAAGATATTAATTTGCATTAACAGTTCAACGCGTTTAAGGGACCATTCTGGGTTAAATAACAGTTTTTGTTGGCCCGTATTCCTTATAACATATGGCCCGATTTCATAAACTCTAGGTTCAAGATTGGATGGTGTATTTTGGGTTTGCGCTTGAGTGCTGGAGTGGGTTGTAGCTGGTTTGGCTATAGCATTTATTATAAATTTAAAGGACAGCCCAATAGTGTCACGGGCCCAGAGGCAAACCACTTTACTAGTTTGTTCTAATTTGAATTTGCACCAACAGTCTAATTCACTTGGATGATTGCAAATCTTCTGGCGGTCATTCACACTGATTTGAGTCACTTTGTTGTGGGTAGTCCCATTAATCATTCGACACCCTATTTCAATTACTTCTCCTATGGTCCCTTGGAGTGACCACAAACCCTGGTTTTGCCACTCTTGTTGGGTATATATTTGATTACTGTGTATGACCAGAGTTGTTAGATTTAAACCTCCTAAATCAGAAATTTTCCCCATGGATCCAGTGTATTGAGTAAAGGCTTGGGACCAAGGCCATTTAACGTCGTTCTGACTAGGTTTACCTTCTAATTGTTGGAATGCAGCTAAGATTGTAAACAATATTTCAGTAAAAGTCCCCACCCACCATGACACACTCATTTTGTTCGAGTAAATTTTAGTTTTAGTTCACCATCACCCGGTGTTATCTTCCAAGTGGCTTCTGGAGCTTTCTTAACCCGACTGTGGTGGATCCAGGCGCTTTGTTCCTTAATCTTGATTGCAGTGAAGGTAGTAAGGAGTACTTGGTATGGTCCCTCCCACTGTGGTTCCAGGGCTTTCTCTGTAAGAGACTTAATATATACATAGTCTCCAGGTTGTACATCATGTACTGGTGCATTGAGTCCCGTACCCCGAGTTCCGGCTATATATTTCTCGATTGCTCTAAGTTGTTTACTTAGAGCGATCATATAGGAGGTTAGTGATACGTCCTGGGCAGACGTTCCCTTCTGCACCCCATATGGTCTCCCATAAAGCAATTCAAAAGGGCTCAGTTTTTCTTTGGTCCTGGGTTTGGTTCGAATCCGCAGTAGTGCTAGTGGGAGGGATTGGGGCCATGGCAAATTAGCCTCCTGTCCCAACCGTACAATTTGTTGTTTGATCAAATGATTCATTTTCTCTACTTGACCACTTGATTGTGGGTTATATGGGGTGTGAAGTTCCCAGTCTATGCCCAAGTATTGGCTAACCTGTTGTACTAATTTTGCAATAAAATGTGGTCCTCTATCTGAGGAGATTGTAGCCGGGACCCCAAATCGTGGTATGATTTCCTGTACCAATACCTTAGTTACCTCTCGAGCTTTAGAAGTTCTGGTGGGGAAGGCTTCTGGCCATCCTGAAAAGGTATCTGTTAGGACCAGTAAAAACTTATACCCCCCTTTTCTTGGCAATTCCGTGAAATCAATCTGCCATTGTTGTCCTGGCCCATGGCCCTTCCCAATCTGGCCACGTTTTGGTTTGGGAATATTCTTGGGGTTTGTCTGGAGGCAAAGGTCACATTGTCGAGTCACTTGAGTGATGGTGGCTCGTAAATGTCTAGCTATGATCTTCTCATTCAGATATCTATACAAGGCATCTATTCCCCAATGTGTTTTCTGGTGCTCCTCCCTTACTAGGGACCATAATAAATAGAAGGGTATGACTAACTTTCCTTCTATGGTAGCCCATCCCTCTGAGTTATAATGTCCTTTTTGCTCTTGAATCAATTTTGTGTCTAATTTGTTGTATTTCGGCTTACCTTCGAGGGAAATTTACCCATCTGGGATCAGTGCTACCTCAGTTATTACCTCCATCCTTGCTGCTTCTTTTGCTTTCCTATCCGCCAGCTCGTTTCCCTCTTCCAGTTCTGAGTTTATCCTCTGGTGTGCCTTAATGTGCATGATCGCTACTTTCTCTGGCAATTGCACTGCTTCCAGAAGTCGCAGTATTTCAGATGCATGTTTAATGTTTTTCCCTTGAGAGTTCAGCAGTCCCCTCTCTTTCCAGATGGCTCCATGAGCGTGCACTATTCCGAAAGCATACTTTGAGTCCGTATATATATTTATCTCTTTCCCTTTTGCCAATTCTAAGGCCCGAGTTAGGGCGAATATTTCGGCCTTTTGTGCAGAGGTATTTGTTGGCAGGGGTCCAGATTCTATTACCTCTTTGCAGGTGGTTACTGCGTACCCGGCGTGCCGTTTTCCATTGACGACATAACTGCTTCCATCAGTAAACCAGACTTCTGCATTCTCGAGAGGGGTTTCCTTCAGGTCAGAGCGGCTGGAGTAGGTGGCCTCGATGGTCTCTAGGCAGTCATGCTCCACTGGTTCTCCTCGGTTTCCACTGAGGAAGGAAGCTGGGTTGACAATGTTAGTCACCACTATCTCTACATCATCTTGTTCTACCATAATAGCTTGGTATTTCAGGAACCGTTGTGGGGAAAGCCAGTGTCCGCCTTTCACCTCCAGTACTGCAGACACCGTGTGAGACACTAGCACAGTCATTCTCTGGCCCAGGGTGAATTTACGTGCTTCTTGGATGTTCATTACAACTGCTGCCACAGCCCTGAGGCACCCAGGCCACCCTTTAGCGGCTGTGTCTAACTGTTTAGAGAAATAAGCAACTGCTCTCCGGTATGGACCGAGGTCCTGTGCTAATATTCCCAAGGCAATTCCTTGCTTCTCATGGGAGAACAAAAGGAAAGGCTTACTCACATCTGGCAATCCCAGAGCTGGAGCTGACATGAGGGCTTTTTTCAGTTGGTTGAAAGCCTGTGTAGCTTCCTTTGTCCACTGGATGTCCCTGCTTTCAGTTGCAATTAGTTCATATAAGGGCTTTACCAGCAGTCCATAATTATAGATCCATAATCTGCACCACCCTGTCATCCCCAGGAAAGTTCGTAACTCCTTTACAGTTTGAGGTTTTGGGGTTTGACATATTGCCTCCTTCCGGCCTTGGCCCAGGCTACGTTGTCCAGCGCTGACTTCGTAACCCAGATAAATTACTTTTTGTGTGACTACTTGGGCCTTTTTCTTGGATACCCGGTACCCTTGGAGCCCCAGAAAGTTCAAGAGGCTTACCGTCCAGGCCACGCATGCTTCCTTTGTCCGTGTGGCTATCAGGATGTCATCTACGTACTGTAACAGCTTTCCTTCCTCGGGAGGGGCTTTCCAAGTCTCTAATTCCTTTGCAAGTTGCTCTCCAAACAGAGTGGGTGAATTTTTGTATCCTTGTGGGAGTCTCGTCCACGTAAGTTGGGTCTTCCGCCCACTTTTGGGGCTTTCCCATTCAAATGCAAAAATTTTCTGACTGGCTTCATGGATAGGAAGGCAAAAGAAGGCATCTTTTAAATCTAAAACGGTAAACCAAGTTAATTCGGGTGTTAAGCAAGTTAATAACGTGTAGGGATTGGCTACCACTGGATGCAGGTCCTCAGTTACCTTGTTCACAGCTCGCAGATCTTGTACTAACCGGTATGACCCATCAGGTTTGCGCACCGGTAGGATAGGGGTATTAAAATCAGACTGACATTCCTTGAGTATTCCTAGACGTAAGAAGTTTTCAATTATTGGGCTAATCCCTTCCCTATCCTCCCTCCTCAAGGGATACTGTTTAACCCTGACCGGGTGTTTTCCTTCTTTTAGCCGGATCTGTATAGGGGAAGCATTTTTCGCTCTCCCTGGTACATCAGAGGCCCACACCCCAGGGAATACCTGATCCATTACTTCTTCATTAATTTCAGTTTCTCTCGTGATTTCGTTAGTGGTTAGTATCAAACTTAATATTTCTACATATTTTTGATCGTTTACCTCCAGAGTCATTTCCCCATTTTTAATGTAATGGTTGCTTGTAATTGTGCTAGCAAATCCCTGCCCAAAAGTGGCTCAGGGGAGTTAGGCATATATAGGAATTTGTGAATCCCCCACTGCTTTCCCAGTTTGTATTTGAGTGGCCTGAAGAAAAATGCCTTTTCAGTTTGGCCAGTCGCACCCGTAACTATAACATAGTCATCTCCTATAGGCATCAAAGCTGTATTTAGAACTGAGTATGTTGCCCCAGTGTCAATTAGGAATCTTACTTCTTTCTCCATTTCCCCCAACTTCAGATTTACAACCAGAGGGCCTGCTGGGGTAGTCTCCTCCGGTCCCCCCTAATCTTCTTGCACATGGGCCACCATTGCTCCCCTTTGATTCCTTTGACCATTTTGTTTCCATTCTGGACAGTCCCTCTTCCAATGGCCCTGTTTCCAACAGTTTGCACATTGATTTCTGCCCAATCGGGGGGGGCCTTGCCTGGATGGCTCCTGCCTGTTTCCATGTTTTCCTCTCCGCTCCTCCTGTACTATTGCTACTAAATTTTTCATCCCTCGCTTATATCCTTCTTCCCTGTTGCTAAAGACCCCCCAGGCTTCTCCCAGTAGATTTTCTAGATTCCGGGCGTTTTCTCCTCGAATCTTCTGGAGCTTGCGCCTGATATCCCCTGTGGACTGTCCCAAAAATAGATTTAACTAGTTGCTGTATTCCCACCTCAGATGCAGGGTCTAGTGGTGTATAGCGCCGCATTACATTTCTCAAACGGTCTAGGAACTCTGTGGGGGATTCCGAGGGTCCCTGTTTGATAGCATATAGAGCTGACCAATTTATGGTCTTAGGAATTGCTCTTTCCACTCCCAATATTACCCAGTCTTGGTACTTCTTTAGCTTTTGTCTCCCTTCTGGCTGGTTTGGGTTCCAGCCTGGGTCTTGAAGTGGAAAATGTTCCCTTAGATCTACTTCTTGTTCTCTAAAATGGTCTGCTACCAGATCTCCTGCTGTTTTTAGAACCAACTGCTTTTCTGTTTCAGTGAACGCATCTAATAACAATTGAATGTCACCCCAGTCTGGGTTGTGTTGCTTCATAATGTATCATAAACGTTTCGCAGTGTTGACTGGGTCATTTCGGTAATCTCCTGCAACCCTTTCCCATGCTTCCAAATCAAGGGTGGAGAATGGTACCTTGACTAGTACTTTTTCTCCCTCTAATGTCACTGTCTCTCTTAAAGGGGCTTGCAGTATCTGTCCTCTGGTTCGGGATGCAATTGGGCTATCTGTAGGGGTTGGAGCGTGTGTTCTTTCTGAAGGAAGAGAAGGGGTGGGTGGAACAGGTGTATGTGATGCAGGTGCTGCAGGTGCAGCAGGTGATGCAGGTGCTGCAGGTACTGCAGGTACTGCAGGTACTGCAGGTAATTCAGGTGATGCAGGTGGGGTGTGTAGTGGAGGTGTTGGAGATGGTGCTGATGCCTCTCCTAAGTTCTCACCTCTTCCTTCTTGCCTTCTTAAGTGAGGACTAAATAGATTACTTAGATCTTGTTCTTGCTCTTCTAGTGCTGTGCGATAAACTTTATCTGTCCTGGTGCACCTCTGTCCTATACTACAGGCTGAGCAGCACCGTTTAAGTTTCCCCATTTTGCCTCTGTTTTCTCTTTCCAGAGCCAGAACGAGGGGATCAGAGGGGGCCCTGATGCCACAGTCCCTTTGCCAATCAGGGTTATTTCGAAGGGAGAAAAACATATCACAATAAGAAACTTCCTCCCATTTCCCTTCCCTTCGTAAAAATAGCATTAACTGCAACAAGGTATTATACTCCAATGTACCTGTAGGAGGCCATCTGGCCCCCTCCTCTAGGCGATAGAGTGGCCACCAATGGGAGCAATATTTGATTAAGCTCTTTTTGTTTTCCACGCCCCCTTTACCTGCTATTTCCTTCCAGTGAGCTAAGATACACCCTAATGGGCTGGCCTTGGATATTTCTGTACTTTGTTTTGCTCCCATTATGCCTCCTAGAGCCTTACAAATTTAATCCAGGCCACTGGGGAGGGAAGGAAAAAAGAATTTTTTTTTTTTTTTTTTTTTTTGTTAGTTAGGACTCAGCAGCAAATGTTCTTGATTTTGCACAACGACTACTTAGGAACTAGTGATGCTTGTAAGTGGTGTTTGCAAGTCCTGCCTTTTACTAGCTGCGCTAGTAGTTAGCAAGTCAGGGCTGCGTTCTTGCTCACCAGAGACAGCCCGCGCCGCGTCGCGGTATCTTAGCAACAAAAGCGCTGCGCTTTCCCGGCCCCGCCGCGCTGCGTCTCTTAGCAACGCTGCGCGGCGACTTCCGGTAGCGCCGCGTCTTCCCGGCCCCACCGCGTCGCTTAGCAACGCTGCGCGGCGACTTCCGGTAGCGCCGCGTCTTCCCGGCCCCGCCGCGTCGCTTACTGTTTCACTCACACAGACACACATATATACAAGCACGCACGTCCGGACGTAACAAACACACCACACTGAAACGGAGATCTCTCTCTTTCTCCTCTTGAGCTGCACAATCAGCCCTGGGATTTTAACCCTTTCCTCCCTCTTTTAGCCGCGCAATCAGCTCAAAACAAAGAAAAAAAAGAGGGGGGGGGGGACCCTCTCCGCCGCCGATCTTACCCTTGGTGGCGGTCCGCTTGCAAGCCCCTTTGGCAAACCTGAGCGCAAGAAGCGTTTTAATGCGACTTATCAGTGCCGTTCTTAAACAAAAGAAAATAATACTGTCCTAGTTTAGGGCAAATTTGGGGAAAACCCTCTGAAAGGAGCCCCCAGGAAACCCCCACGGCCCCTCCCCACCCACCTGGTTCAGGGAAAAATTTCCTCTGAGAGGGAAGTGGAAAAGAACCCGTTTATTCAACAACAAAGCACTCCCCAACACCAAAACAATTAACACAAGATGACAACAAGACTCTTTCACCCCTCTGAAGAGCTGAACAAATCCAGAAGGTCTTTCCTGGGAGTGGTCGCCCGGGTCTGGACGCTGGGGATGGCTGCTGCAGATCACCAAATGCAGGCTCCTGGTGTTCTTTGGTGTTTCCCAGATCCCAGTCCAGAGCAGGTTGAATGATGTTCAGAAAGAGGAAAGGGAAAAAAAACAACAGTCCAGGGAAAGAATTGGACTGCTTAACCTAACTAGGAAGCAAAGCAAGAAAGCAAGAAAGCAGGCAAAGCAAGCAAGCCAAGCAAGCAAGCAAGCAAAGCAAGCAAGCCAAGCAAGCAAGCAAAAGCAAAGCCAGCCAGCCAGCCCTAGCCTTTTCTAGCTTTCCAGCAGACATGGGGGGAGGTGAACCAGATGATAACACAGCAAAACAAACCTTCACTTTCAGAGTCAGTTCTGAAAGCACAGAACATAATATCAAACGTAAACAGAACACACGATTGGAGATACAAACACCATAACCGTCACCCTAGGACATTCCACCCCTTATCTCCATATCTTCAACATCATGTAAAAACTCCATCAAGTTAAAACTTGTATCTTTCACTTACTCATACCTTCTTTCTCATGTCTGTGTGTTTTCATGCACAGACATTGACAGTAACATCCAGCAAACAGTGATATTTGCACAATAGTTTCACCCCACAATCAGATCTCCCTGAGGTACACATCGTGTTGTTCCATCTCTCTGCATTATCCACCATGTACAACCTGGTCCCTGAGCAAAGACAATCCCACGAATGGGTTTGTCTGTACTCGAGGCAGGATTGATCCACACTGATTTCCCTAACAAACCTCTGACATGTGCCACTGGGACTTTATCTCCGTCTACTATATTCAGGGGCTCAGACTGGGCAGGACCTGCTCGATTGGTGGAACCTCGGCTGTTAACTAACCAGGTGGCCTTTGCTAAATGTTGCTCCCAATTTTTGAAAGATCCCCCACCCAAGGCTTTTAAGGTGGTTTTTAACAGTCCATTGTACCTCTCCACTTTGCCTGCAGCTGGTGCATGGTAGGGGA